CGCTCACACTGAGGACCTATCCACGTGATCATTTACCCAGAATCCTTTGTGTGTAAATAAAATGGTCCCATCCGTGTTAAAATAATTTTAAATTTTTTTAAAAAAACTAAACAACCTACAGTATTTTTACAGTCTTTATTTTACAGTTAAAATTAATGTTTATCAAATAAAGTCTAATGTTACAACTGGATCCCTTTAAAGCATTCCTTCATCTGATCTTTTGAAGCTATTAWTATGCCATCAAATAAGTAATACTGGAACATTTAGTGGCCAACATTATGCTGTAACATATTCAAATTATGAACATTTTCTAAAAAGCTCCTTTAAATACGGCTGTCAAGATAGCGCAAAWACCACAACACTGTGTTTATCTGAATGAAAAACACCATAATGCTTATAGATGTACATCAAAATGCACTTAGAAATATTTAACAGGAARCCTACATGGAAACAACTGATGCCATGATAAAATTAAAAAGATGTGTTTTTTTTTTTCAGATGTCCCCTCAAACAAAAACGCATTACCTGTAGAAAATAAAATATTTTACCCACACAAATCAAACGTGGAATTTGAAACAGCACCATTAATGTATCAGTGACTGTTTCATAGAGAGAACTGCAACACTCCCTGTTCTGACAAAAACGAGCAGATAACGTCTGATCAGGTTTCAATAATATGTTATGTGTGACGGTTAAAAAAATGCCTTATGTGATAAGTGAAAGTCATCGCAGCTAATCTGCATACTGCAAATACCACATCTGCTCAAAAATAATAATAAAAAAAGTCTCGACCCCACCCACAGAGCTGATGAAAGCTGGTGTCCGAAAAAAAAAAAACATATGCGGTTAGAGAGACGTTCACAAGTATCTAATCAAATATCAAGTTCACAGAAGTCATTATTAAGTTATGATTTTTGTCAGTCACGACAAGCTGTTAGCTTAGCCGAGAATGGGCTGATTAGAAATGCGAAGTCCAAAGGAAATCGACGGTAGCTGCAAACGTGTAGCCCAGCCAGTGCCATCTAGCTTCCAAGTTAGCCAGGTTTCTATTTAATAAGGGTTGCCTCAACAGCCAGCTACTCACCTTTCTCTCATGTTTAGTATCTCAGCTGATAAAATTTATTGCGGAACAATGGCACATGGACAGCACRGTTACTGTCATTCAGCTCTGCGCTGGTAAACAAAACTGTACTTTCTGCGAAAAGGCAACCGAATGACAGCRGCTACAACCGGTGTGGCTAGCTCAGGTTAGCATTGTAAGTGCAACAGTTTTTGGTTCCGTCCGTGTACAGTAAACATCAGACAAATAGTTCCGGGTTATTTATGTTCTGTTTATAATATATTTACATAGAATATCATAACACAAAATAAATACTTCCGTAACCAATAATGCTTGTAACTACTAAACTAGTTAATATACTAAACACAAAGATGGCGTTTGTTTTACAAGTTATTWATTCCTTAAATACAGTATTAAAATAAACCCTGTGTGTAATCCGTGTTCACCCACCAGGTGCTGCTGTTGGATAAAAATATWGTTTATAAAGTTTACAAAATCAATTTCAGCTCTACTTTTTTAAGTAATAATTTTAGCATTAAGGCTAACTAATGTAACTATTCAAAGCAAAAAACGAAGAAAATCAAGCCTTTTTAACCCTAATTTGTGTATTTTATGCTGACATAGTCCTCTAGAATTAAGTTGTAGGATATAGACTTTACTGATCTAATTTCCCTCTGGGATCAATAAAGTATTTTATTTAATTCGTGGATTAAAAATCTGATCAGAAGTTCTTAAAAGTAAAGTTTTTTTTCCTCAATTCCCTTCCTAAAAAAATCTTGAGCAAAGTTGATTTGAATGGATGTGATTTTAAGTTTTTGAATACAGTTTGGCTCAGTTGTGCAGTCAACAATAATCTGGCTAAAATAAACAAAAAAGAAACAAACATCCACAATTAAACAATAATGATCATACAATTTAAAAACAAAAATGAAATTATCCTCCTGTGTATAATGAGATCTATTCCTCATTTTGCGCATCCAGTTTTTCTGTATTTAACATTGTTCAAACAAACAAGCAAACAAACAAACAAACAAACAAACAAACAAACAAAAATAAAATCTAGTAAACTTTAATGAAAATCATTAAATCTTATTTGTGAATTATTCGCCATTAAGACAAAAAATGGCAAGTAACTTTGAAGTTGAATCATTAAATGTGCTAAAAGTTTAGCATAAATTATTTTGACAAAACTGGCTAAGATGTATTTATATACTGGCTTGTATACACATGCGTACACGCACACTCAGATATGTCTCTTTGAATAATAGTCTATGCTCCATTCTGCAAAAATCAGTTTATAGGAGACTGAAAGCTGGCAACTTCACTCTTTCTTACCTATGACTCAATTACCTTTGACATGGCAGTCAAAACATCTATTACACATTGACAGACACACATACACACACAAGCACAAACTCCTGCACACACTCTCGCTGTGACTTTCCTCTCAACACCACAACTCAATTACTTGAAACATAGCACTCTGAACAGCTGGAGGGCACTATAGCTCAATAACACAAAATCAAGGCAGCTATAGGAAGGGCAGTCAGTGTGATGACCTGGCAGCAAATCAGCTATCACCAGGCCAGTGGAAACACTTATCATTCAAGTCACACAATGAAAGCAGTAGCCACACTGTACAATTCTACAGGACACCCATGTGTTGCTTTAATTATGAGAATTTAAACTCTGCCTTAAAAATAAAATCCACCCACTGAGTCAGTGTTTTTTTTCTGACTATTGTAAAAGGTGGTCTTTTGTGATTAATTTAGTATTATTGTAAAGTGATAGTWTCCAAAATGGGGCCCCTTTGATTACCAAGTCACTGAATGCCAAACATGAAGTGATAGTTGTGGATGTCCATGCCTACAATTTAGACGTGTTGTCACCTTGGAGACAGAGCATTGCTTTATGACAGAAAGGACAGCTATAAAATGTGACTTATTTTAAATACAGAGCATAGAAGAAAGGCCACGGCAGCCAGAAGTTACTGACAGAACAATGATTAAATTCCTTCTGAATGCTATTTCAGAAATTGCAAACTTACAGCTAACCAGTGTTCTCATTGCTATAGTGCAGTGTCTGTCAACAAAATGTGGTCAAATTAGGCTGTTTTTAGCTCTATAATTAAAGAGATAACTCAGATTTTTTTATTTTATTTTATTTCATTTCAAACTTTATTAACACAATTCTATATACAACAACAAAGAAAGAAAATACAGTGAAATGAAAGGCGGCAGATAGAAGATTTTTTTATRTCTGCTCCTTTTTCTAAAGTAGGAATTCAAACAATAGTAATTTTCAGTTAACAAAACAAAACAAAAATATTCCTAGAACAACAATTTATATGAATGCATGTTATACTATTTCATATTTTTTTCAACAATCCAACYTTTATCATTCTCTTRAACATGTAYKKTGATTTGGCACTTTTMACATCAWTTTCCAGATCATTCCACAATCTCACTCCTTGGATTGAGGCGCATCATTCTTTCAAACTGGTTCTAAACTTAGGTTTCATTAACATCTCTGTCCCCTTAAGATTATAGCAGCTCTCTTTCTTTGCAAAGATTTTCTGGATGTTTAAAGGTGATGCATTTTTGTGAGCCTTATACATAACTAACAAAAAGTTACAATCAACCAAATCRTAAAATTTCAATAACTTCTACAAAATAATATATTAGATGGATGGTCATGTTTTCGAGTGATAACTCTCACAGCTCTTTTCTGCTAAACAAAAACAGCATGTGTAATAGTCTGCTTTCCCCATAACTCAACACAATTAACAAGTGTGGAACAATTACTGTGTTATATAACATATACAGAGATTTATCATTGAACAAGTCCCTTACTTTGTAAAGCAATGCAATAGATTTAGCTATTTTATATAAGGTTTCCATGTCAGTTTCTCATCAGAAATAACACCCAAAAATTTTACTTCACTGACTCTACTAATCTCTACACTATCAACTCTAAATGGAATATTAACAGTTCTTCGTCTCTTTGTAAATATCATATAAATAGTTTTATCCAAATTTAGTGATAATTTATTAAGGTTAAACCAATTTTGTATATTAACAAATCCTGTTTGCACTTTCTCTRACATCCGTTCTATGTCTTTACMAAAAAAAAAAGGTGGTATTATCTGCAAATATAACACTTTTGAAAAGCCCTGGCACATTCACATAAAAGACAAACAACTTTGGTCCAAGTACAGAACCCTGAGGAACTCCATATGTAATCTTACAGAGTTCAGATTTTAAATCATGTACTTGTACAAACTGTTTCCTATTTTCCAAATAACTAGATATCYATCGTAGTGCTGGTCCTCTAATCCCATATTTATTTAGCTTTTCAAGTAGAATGCTGTGGTCAATTGTGTCAAATTCTTTCTTTAAATCTACATAAATACAGGTGGAAAATTGTTTTTGATCAATAGCATTTTGTTATTTGTTCTTTCAGCTCCTTAAGAGCCATTGAATTAGAGTTATTGGCTCTAAATCCATATTGACTGTTAAGATATTATTTTTATCGATGAATTGATCTAATCTGATCACAAATAATTTCTCCAAGATGTTTGAGAACTGTGGTAATAAGAAAATTGCTCTGTAATTACTAAACATACATTTCTCACCATTTTTGTAAATAGGGATTACCTTGGCTATTTTCATGTTGTTTGGAAATGTTCCTGTTGAAAATGATAAATTACATTTAAATGTAAAAGGTTTAATAACATAACAAATCATTTCCTTAACAAAGATCATATCCATGTTCACCCAATTTTTTGACCTTTATCCACAAACTTTTTTATAATACCCACCCATTATTTCTTCCTCCTCAATTTCACCAAGAAAGCTGTTTGCACAACTTCTGATTGTTTGAGTCATGTCATTATCAGCTTTTGGTATTTGAGCAGCAAGACTTGGACCAACATTAACATAATAATGATTAAATTCTTTAGCTATTTCAGTTTGATCGTAAAGTTCCTTATTATCTTTCACAAAGTTTTTTAAAATACCCACCCATTATTTCTTCCTCCTCAATTTCACCAAGAAA